TTGAAAAGCATGGGGCTGTGATGAAGCTTTTAAAGTGATCTCCACCCAATGAAGGTGCAGACCACAATGATTCCTCCAGGTAGTGAGGAAGCCCCCACAGACTGAGCCAGAGTTACCAGTCCAGACAGGGGCTCACCAGAAAAAGAGAAGAGAGGATCAACTGTTCTCAGTTAGAAACACTGTGTCATTGGATTAGTTAGTCTTAAACAATTGCATTAGCCAAAATGAAAACATTATTTGAGTTTACAACAAATGCAGAATGTGGGCTGCATGCTGCTGATTTATGGGGATGTGTCTGGGCATTTGTTCAAAGTAACTTAACTTGAACAACCCAATATTCAAGACAATTTATATTGTGCATGAAATTTATGGTATGGGATTTTATCTATGATGTGTAACCATTTTATTAAGAGAATCCGCTTAATCACATCATTTTACAATCCTGTGATCCCTTGTGGTTCTGCTAGTGAAAACCCCTGAAGTAAATCCCTAATTTTATTAGAATCTTGTGGTATATTGGCTACTGTCTGTTCTTGAGCACAGCACTTTATTTAGTGCAAGGCTGACAAACGGACAGCACTTTCAGGGGGCATCAAAAAACTCTGACCCCCAAACGCTGACGATGAACTTCATGTATCTTCATTACTGAACAAGATCCCCAGAAAGGCCCGGCTGTTAGAATTAAAACAGGCAGGATATACTATACCACAAATCTGACTGAACTCTGCAAGATATATAAAGCTGTACAGAAGATCACCAATTTTGAAAATTGTGGCAGAAATGCCTCTGGCGTGTGTTTCTGGAGGGGCCCGCTGGCTTGCCATCTGCCCAAAGACTATGGGCCCTGCAAAAAGCCTGTTAAAAGACTTAGTTTGTGCCATTTTCCTATGCTGTTCGGGAAACGAACAGGTGCACGCAGGGCCGGTGCAAGGATTTCTGCCGCCCTAGACAAAGATCCATTTTGCTGCCCCCTCATATCACTCACTCACTGACAGACGCACAGACACACACACTCACTACCAGACACACAGACACACACACTCACTGACAGACACACATTCACTCACAGACACACACACAGACACTTACACAGACACACACACAGACATACACTCACTCACTGACAGAGACACAAACACACACTCACAGACATACATACACTCACTCACTGACAGACACACACACAGACACTCACTGACATACATATACTCACTCACTGACAAGACACTCACTGACAGACAGACATACACCCACTCAGTGACAAGACACACAAACACTCACTGACAGACATACACTCACTCACCGACAACAACACACAGACACTCACTGACATACATATACTCACACATTGACAGACACTCACTGACTCACACACACACACACACACACACACAATCAATGACAGACACACACACTCACTGACACACACACACACACACTCACTGACATACATACACTCACCCATTGACAGACACACACACCCACCCACCCACAGACACTCACTGACAGACACACAAACACACACTCACTGACAGACATACACTCACTCACTGACAGACACACACACACACACACACACAGATACTCCCTGACATACATACATACACTCTCTCACTGACAGACACACACACACACACTCACTGACATACATACACTCACTCACTGACAGACACACAGGAAGACACACACACACTGACAATCAAACACTAACACCCTCACTGACACACACACAGGCAGACACTCACTGACATACATACACTCACTGACAGACACATACACACACAGGCAGACACTCACTGACACACGCACACACTCACTGACAGTCAAACTTCCCTGGTGTCCAGTTTGGGGCAGCTCCTCACTCCTCCCGCCCGCTGTTTAGTATGCCAGGGCTGGAATGATGTCATATTCTGGATCCTGGCACCACAGGCGGCACGCGAAGGAGGAGGGAGAGGCTGCAAGAACAGGCCACCAGGTGCCTGCTCTGCCTTATCTAATACAGCTTCGGGGGCACCCTGAGGTGGCCATATGGCTACCTCTTGGGCCCAATGTGACAGGGCTCCTCTCGGCTCCCCAGCCTTCGGGTGCCTTGAGGATCGACACGGCGCTGGGGGTCACTCAAGAGCCACTCGCCCAACACTGCGGACCCAGACAGGGGCAGGCAGCCCACCAGCAGCGAATGCTTAGTTCACCTAACGGTGGCGCCGGCCGTGGGCGCACAAACCATGGACCACCTAGGAGCTTGTTAAGCCCTATCATCACCTCTTAAAGATACTAACCGCAGTGCTCTAATTATTCATCTGGATGGCCGCAATTCATATGAATGACCATGAGGTGGCACCCATCTTGTTCGCATGAACGCAGGCAGCGGTGTTTGGTCATCGAGTTCATGGAACTCAAATCAGACACGGAAATTCACAAACACCGCTGGACTTCCATCATCGCCTGCGTTTGGATTCTACACCACCTAGGAGGGCACTGTTCGGTAGAATCGTTCGTCTGGATGAGGGGAACAAGCTCCACGGTATGACTACTGACTACGTTCGGTAGTGTGTTCATTTTTAAAATACCGAACTAGACCGACCGTTAGCCATGATTTCATGGAACTGTTTTGGGCATAGGACCATGTGCACGGTCGGTCAAATAACCGACTTCCATGAAAATTCCAAACTACTGAACCAATCTGGGTGATTTTTAGATATGTTGGTCACCCAGATTGGGGCTATCAGGGGATATAATGTTAGTTTAGGCTGAACAAGGTTTGCAGCACATCGAATACCCCTCTAGGTGCAGCATTTGTGGTATCTCCCACTTTTGGCAGTTATCCACGGTTCCCTAAGTCTATCAGATACTAAGAAATTTGGAATTTAGGGTTCTTAAAACCCAGTAACATTGTAGCTCAAATGAACTGTGATTAAAGACCCAAACTGATCAATAGCCAGCCCCGAAAGAAAAATCATATTTGTAAAAAAAAATATAAAAATAAATGTCAGTCATTTTTGGTTTCAGTCTTGATGTGTGTGATGTTGGTGTCAGTGAATGAATGTCTATACGTGTCTACGTCTGTTTATATGTGTGTTTATGTGGCCAGGAGGCATGAGCGTGTGTGTGTGTGTGTGTGTGTGTGTGTGTGTGTGTGTGTGTAACTTTCACAACAGAGACTGTATGGACCTGTACAGTGGATTTATTATTAAGTGTTCTTGCATAGCAAGACCACTTAATGTTATCTCACATATATATTATTATTATTATTATTCTTATTAAAATTTGCCACCCTAACTTCTCCCACAGTTTTTACACTACATAGACAAAAATTTACCAAAACGTGCAGATTGTTCCCGATCGGATTGCTATTACTTTGTGGAACGTTTCGCCGAATGGTTCACGGAATATCATCGTTCTTGTGGCGAAATTTGTCCCATAGGAATGAATGGCAAAGCTAGAGTGGGAGCTGGCAAAAGCTGAAAAATCAGGACATGATTTCTAAACTGCCACCACTACCTTATTTCCAGGCCCACCTACACAAATCTTATATCAAAACGTTCAGCTATCCCTGCTGCCACTAAACATGTCAATGGCTAAGCCATAGTCCTGATAGTTTTCACAATGTAATCATTTGTTTGCAACTAACGCCGTCCATTGACTTTCATTGAAACTTCACTCTGCAAAGCTAAAATTTGAAGTGCAATTTCTAAACTGCGACTGTGCCTTCATTTTTAATGCGTCAGAGACATACTATGCATCAAAACGTAGGTCTGGGTCTTGTGATTCTCACAATATAAAGCTGTAGGATTTATAGTTTTTAAAATACGATCGTTTGAAGTTGGCAACCGCCAAAATACTCTGACCTGTGTCAGGCTGCAGCAGCAAATTATGTCATAGACAGGGCCTTTTGAACACCTGCTAATGTTTTTATAAATGTATGGTTTAATGTAACTGTGCAACAACGTTGCAATTAAATGTGCTATATAAATGATAACAGTTACTCCGCCCACTCCAGTTGTAGACTACTGGTGGAGGCAAGAACACTTCACACAATTTCCCCAGAAATTGTAGCTTTTCTAGTTTATTGATTGGTTTATTTATTTATTAAAAATATTCCTGCTATAAGTGTCACATCTCCCTGCCACCCCAACAGAGCAGGAATATCCAAAAAGGTTTCTTCTATGACTCTCAGCTCACTGTTGTGTGGGGATCCTGGGAGTTATAGTTTAGCAATCATTGTAGCACTCAGATAACCCATACATTTGTCTACCTGCAGTTATAATTATGAGATAATATTAGTTTTTCTATTACTGACTAGTTCCAAACTCCATATATGGTCAAATGCAGTGACATCATAAACACTCTGGCATCATCTGATGAAATAATCAAGGTCAAACTCACACTCAGAGTGACTAGACCTCTTGCGAGTGGACAGTGGCTATTCATTGTTACTATTATCAGTTAGCTCATTGAAAAATAGTTTGGGAACTTGAAATCATTCAAATGCAAATCATTCACTCTCCTCATTTGCCAAACTGGGTCAGAAAAGTGAGAGAAAGTCTGCTGGACAATCATTGCAGCACTCAGATAACCCATACATTTGTCTACCTGCAGTTATAATTATGAGATAATATTAGTTTTTCTATTACTGACTAGTTCCAATCTCCATATATGGTCAAGTGCAGTGACATCATAAACAATCTGACATCATCTGATGAAATAATCAATGTCATACTCACACTCAGAGTGACTAGACCTCTTGAGAGTGGACAGTGGCTATTCATTGTTACTATTATCAGTTAGCTGACTGAAAAATAGATTTGTGCATTTGAAATCATTAAAATTCAAATCATTCACTCTCCTCATTTGCCAAACTGGGTCAGAAAAGTGAGATAAAGTCTGCTGGAAAGAGTGGTCAGACAACTCCACCCAGAAAACAAGCCCTGAAAAGAAGCAGGGAATATGATGAGGAGGAACAAGGCAGGCATAAAAAGGGAAAGATCTCCTGTGGAAAGATGGAAGAGGAGAAAAGAGTTAACGAGGAGATAGGAAAAGAAAAGTGCATAAAGGAAACAAACAAGCCAACGGGGGACGATGAATGTGTTCCAGGTACGATGAAAAAACAAATGTAAAAAGATTGGTCAGTTTAAAATATACAGGATTTTACACTCAATTGACAATACTCTGTACCCATTAACTGTCTCTTATCAATATTTCCCGCACTTCAGCTACCATGAGTGCTCAGGCGATGGTGTATTAATCTATAAAGTAATAGTATAGATCAATATTTCAAGACCTTTGATATATCAAAAATATTTATCCATCCGTTTTGAAATATCCAATGATATTCACAGGGAATGTACTGCAAACTGTAATGTCTTTTTAATAAAATTACACATGATGTGTTATTTACAAACCATGTTATTGTTTCATATAACTGGGTGGGATGGGAAGATTCGTAAAGGGGTTCTGGGGTAATAGAGAAATTAAGCTGTTTTTTGTGTTATGATGAAGTGGAGGCTAATATTATGTGTTAAATCTATAAGGAGGAAGTAGACAGCCTGTGGTTGAACCAAAGAAGCCACCACCATTTCAATTCCATAAAGTGCTGGGACAAGGCAGCTTTGGAAAGGTGAGTCTATGAGTAATGTACACATCTTATTTAATACTCTATTGATCTAGCGGAGAACAATTATAACTTCTCATTATCATCATATTCCAATAACAACTAATTGGGATTTCATTTATTAATCTTTTTAATATGTATGATCCATGAATGTGGAAAATATAATGACACGTACAAAGTTTTTAGAACATTTTATCGAGACTTCAAATAAAATACCCAGGACTCTTCTATTCTGTGATGTTTAACATGTCTTCTTATAGTAACAGTTCTATTAAATCTTTCTGTCTTTCTCTAAGCTTTCATCATTCACAACAGAATACCATATATAGGTCTCAATTTAGTATTTTGGGTTAAGCTTTAAAAATAATCACAAATACCTGGTTTTAAATGATTTATCTACAGATTTAATCATTAAAGTTTTTTGGAATTTGTTGTAGATAAATCATTTGTAAATTCAGTTTTGCTAGCAGAGTGTTCTCGATCCATATATGTATCGGTTATATAGCAATCATAGATAGGTTGAGGGTTCCAGAGCTCTGTATGTATATATATATATATATATATATCCCTTATATAGGGTTCTGAGGTAGGTCCCAGAGCTATGTATGTGTATATTCATTATATAGGATTCTCAGGTATGTTTCCAAGCTCTTAAACAGGGTTAATAGCAGGTCCCCAAACCCTCTAAATACATCCCTCAGTTACAATGTTACAAAATGATATCTGTAATATGTGTCCACTATTTAAAGGAAGTTTTAAAACAAAAGAAGCTGAGATTCCGACCTTCTTTTGTGACATTGTCGCTGATATGGGGCTCTCTCTCCTCTGTCTATGTGATGTTTAGGTGCTGCTTGCTTCTACCAAGGACACAGGTCAGTTTGTTGCCATTAAAGTAATAATGAAAGATAAAGTTGAGGATAAGGCCATTCAGAAGGAGAAGCGAATACTGCAAATGGCGAGAGGAAGTCCATTTCTATGTCATGGACTTACTTCCTTCAAGACCCAGGTATGAAACCCCATGTCCATAATGTTTCCTTATTTCTATATATTTCTATATGGCTGATTGTGTTCTTCTTATATTATTGCAGTATATATTAACTGGATATTTGTTGTCTCTCTTATTAAACAGAAGTATGCCTCCCTGGTCATGGAGTACATATCAGGGGGCAGTCTGCAATCCTACATGACTGGGAAGAAATGTCTGTCCATGGAGGAAACAAGGTGAGTCAATAATAGCTCTAGCAGGTAGGGGGGGGGGAAGAAGTGAGTTTAACACATGATACAGGAATGTAAGAGGTGATGGATATAACTCCGTATTAACATATACTCTCTATAGTACTGATATCCATAAAGATCCATCAGGGATACATGCTGGGTTAACACTAATGTACTAAACAGAATTTCCTCATTAATATAAGCCAGATAATGGGCAATGTAAAAACCCCAGGACTAGCACCGGGATGCGTTCTATATGGATTGACGTACGGCAGATCGGGAGCCGCTATGAGTCAACTGACCTGCTGCAACCCTAACCTGACTCCAGTGTGTGTCTCTTTCTATACTGAATGCTGCTTCAAACACTCATTTCTATTACCATAGATCTTCTGAATAAAAATTACATCCCTATAGATTGGTTTGTACATCTAACAAACAGAAAGGGACTCAAAGAATCATAGAGTGGATTGTGCTTTATGGCAGAGAACTGAGAAGGGTTAAGTGGGTAATATACAAGAGACAGTCTCTTACCTCTTGAGTAAAACTAATTTAAGAATCATGTTTTCTAATTTCAAAAATGATGGATTTAATAATAATATTAATAAGAAATAATACTATTATTATTTAATGTAAATAAATTAAAATTGTATTATTACAGTTATATAAAAAATAAATGTACTAATACAAATTTCCCATGGACAGGCCCTGTTTGATTTAAAATAAAAATGTTATGTATATGTTGGGAGCCGAGTGTTTAGTATGATGTATAGATACTTGTATAATACCTGCATAGTGCTGACATGTCACATTACCATGTTAGGTGCATTATACATAGAAATACAGTTTACCAATAAAAATGTTCTGCTCTGTTATATGTTATTTTAATAATAATATTTTGGGCAGATTGCTTTATGATCTTTGTATTCTTTTTTCCAGGTTCATTTCAGCAAACCTTGTCTGTGGGATCCAGTACCTCCATTCCGGCGGGATCCTTCATAGGTCAGTATTAGCGTTTGTTTATTTAGAAAGCGCTAATGTACTCTAATGAGAAATAATGTATTTATATCTCTGCTCTCTCCTTTATTTCACATTTATATCTGTCTTCATTATATAGGGATCTGAAGCCAGCCAATGTTCTCTTTGATGCCAAGGGCTATGTCAAAATAGCAGATTTTGGCCTCGCGGTAGAGAATGTCTTTACAGATAAAACCATCAAAGGACTAGCTGGCACACTCAAGTATATGGCGCCAGAGGTTAGTTAGAGGGTGTGGTTATGTGAGCAGTTAAGGGGAGTTGTATAAGAGCAATATATGTTTAATGAGTAGTAGGGAGATGAATAACACGAGCTGGGAATGAGGACAGTATCAGAGTAGCAGTGGGTGGACTAAGAGGAATGTGATTAGACTAGCTGGAATAAAATTATGGGATTATATTAAAATCTGCAAGATAATCAGAGAACAGTTAGAAACTAAAAAACAATATCAATGGGAGTACATTTAATGCTATGACAACGTTATCACTATTTACTAAGGTTTTCTCTTCAATATAACTATGGCATACACATTTTAGGCCACAACAGTTATATATATATTTACATTTTTTACACAAAAGTTTCAGATGTACTTCCCATTTATAGAGCTGCAGAGCTCAAAAATTCCTTTTTAGACATTTCCAATTTTTGTTTTTGTTTCTGTCCTTACAGAACAGAATAGTGTGTATGTTCAATGTCCATATTCCAAAATGTATTCTAAGATTGGTTGTGCTTTCTGAATGCAATATACTCCATGTTTATAACTGAAAAAATAGTTTATTTTTTTTGTTATAATTTATTTGACATATTGAAACTTCTTTAGTCTTATTAGTTTCTCGGTTTTGTAAATTACACTGAAAAACAAAATGGTTTAACGGAATGAAACAAAATAAAAGCGGTAAATCTGCCATAAAAATAAAATAAAAAAATCTGCAAGATAGACTGTGACAGGTTTGGTATGAGTTTTTGGAAATATCACTGACAATAAATATAGTGATGATGAGTACATTTAATACCATATTTACAAAAAAAATACATATCTTATGTGTTTTGACAGATACTAAGCGGCAAAGAGTATGGCCAATCAGCAGACTGGTGGTCATTTGGCGTAATCCTCTACCACATGCTCACCGGGAAGACTCCATTCAATACCAAGATCAGCAAAATGGAATATATAAAGGAACTGTTAAACACTGACCCACGTTACCCAACCTGGCTGTGTAGTGATCCTACAGACCTCCTGAACAAGGTAAAGAATAGGCTATTATAGGAGCAGATACATTGCAAGGTAATAGAGAATGGGCTGGTTAATGTTTTAATTGGATATAATGATAGAGGTTGTAAAGTAACCCAAAAGAAGCTGCTGGAGAAGTTATGGGAATAGATATGTACCTACAACGTACGGAAAAGCAGAGAAGCCATTTTGTGATTCTATTGGTCTAGACAAGAGGAAATCTTTACTAAAAGAAATTGTAAAGAATTAGTTACTGGTCAGTCAAATAAATGAGATTTGTGTTAATGTAACAATTTACAACAAACTTTTCACAACCACAGCCTCATCTGAATCTTGTCATATGGTTAAAACGGCTTCATTCAGCAGTGGTGATTGCTTTTAGTATGTGTTATGTACATTGTACATCAAAATGTTACAGTTCAGAGAGATCACAAAGTAAGTGTATTATACTGAGTGTATCTTCTCAATCTCTCTCTTACTAGATCCTGGATAAGGACACTCATGCACGCGGAGTGGCAGGGAGGAACATCCGGCAGCACCCCTTCTACAAAGATATTAATTGGGAAGATCTAGAGAGGGGTAAAGTGAGCTGCCCATTCCTGACATTGCTAGTAAGTGCACAAATAATTAGTATTTATAAACTGAGGAGGGATTATACAGAATAATAATTCCACCACCACAACATGAAAACTGATTCCTTGATCCACCAGTAATCACTTCCCAGAGGGGGTTCCATTAAAGTGACACTGTAGGCACCCAGACCACTTCAGCTAACTGAAGTAGTCTGGGTGCTGTGACCCTTTTGCACTTAGTGCTGCAATGTAAAACATTGCAGTTCCAGAGAACTGCAATGTTTACATTGCAACTCTAAGTCTACCTTCAGTGGCTGTCTGGTAGATCTACTGGGGGAGCTTCTGGAATCCAAACTGACTTTTGGTCCGTTATCTGACGCTGGATGTCCTCACGGACCTCTAGCATAAGAATTTCCCTGTAGGAAAGCATTGAATAAGGTCTAATGTGGGTACGGCCATTGCCGCGCATGAGCATTAGCGGAGGAGCGTGGGCAGAGCCTGACCCAGCACCGAGGGACATCGGCACTGGATCAAGGTAAGTGGCTAAAGGGATTTTAACCCCTTCAGCCCTGCAGGTTTGTTTTCCTGGCACTATTATTATTATTTTATTATTTATATAGTGCCAACAAATTCTGTAGCGCTGTACAATGGGTGTTAGGATCCCTTTAAACAAGCACTGATTGAATTTCTCACCACCATTACTGTGCCCATTGTAAACTGTACATTCTTATTTATATGTAAGAAGTAGACCGTTCCAACTAATTATCTCTCTTCTTGATGCAGACACCAGATCTAGAGACAGGTACCACGGGGAAGTAATTGAAGACCATGTCATCAGTGGCCTGTCTTCCATGACCCAAAATGTCAGGAATTAAAGTATAGTAGAGACACCTAGAGAGGCAAGGAAGAAAGAGATGATCATTTCTTGTTTATACTAAAGGAACTGCTCGAACATTAAAAAGAGTTTATTATGCTACTGTATACCATAAAAAAAAAAGTTTTTCTTTTACCATCGAATATATACATTATTTGTAAAGGACTAGAAAAATCTTTTATTGGTGTTGTTAAATATATAGAGTGTTAGAGAGAGAGTGTGTGTATGTTAAAGCAGCAGTCCGAAGTTGTTATCTGAAGTGTAACCTGGCATTTAATCTCAAGCTGCCTCCTCCTCTGGGCCCTGCCATTCTATTTTTTGTCTCTTACGTCGTTGCCACAGTTAGCAGAGGCAACTACCAGATGATCATTTCACTAAGCAGCAGAAAATGTAGAATAATAATTCCAACACCTCAACATGAAAACAGATTTCTTGATCCACCAGTAATCACTTCCCAGAGGGCATTCCATTACACTAGCACTGATTTTATTTCTCCTCACCATCACTGTGCCAATTAAAATCTGTACATTATGTGAGTGGGGCTTGGCTGCCATGGATAGAGGACTCCTCAACTAAATTGCCCTAATCTCTGTATAAATATAGATACTGCAGTGCAAGTGTCTTCTGCTCTTGCCTAGCTGTGTCTAGGACGTCTTGGGCATCAGTCTGTGAATTCCTATGACTCTTTGAAGTGGAGCTCCGGTCCTGTGCCATTGTGGTTTAGCACATTCTCCTAGTCCTTGCTGGCCTGCTCCACACACTTATTCCGACATCAGGACAAGTGAGGATCGTGGCTAGACCCATCAGAATGGTGAACACATCCTTAACTCGTGGGCATGAGCTAATGCAGCCTGTGCAGTATGGCGTCGCTCACCTAATGGTGCAGCGACTAGAACATGCAACTGCTTGTGGGAAAACTGAAGCTTATATCGGGGCAACAACGCCTTATCAACAAGAGGGAGAGCGAATAAGCTTAAATCAGGGAGTGAGTGGGCTTCCTCTGGGTGCGATGTACTCATACATGCCTGTGATTTCCAATGTCGGCCAGGATAGACTGAAGACCGTTCAGAGTAATATCACGGTGCATAGACCACATAGGTGGAAGGCCTACTGGCACTCACTGCAACAAACTAGCAGGAGCTTCGGCCCTTTCATGAAAGGGAAAGTCTCGAACTCTTCCAGCACCCGAGTCCGTGGCACAGAGATTCTGGCCTTGGAACAGATCTGGGGCTAGAGTGTTGCCCTTCAACGACCATCTTACATTCCTGAACGTGGGCATTGGCTGACACTGGACTTCCTATCTTGAGCAAACAGCCTGCTCACCTATGGTGTATCTTCCGCATTAGTAGAAGTCACTTCACATTTATATGCCTTTTTTATGCCCTTCGTTATCAATGTGCGTTTACTTTGTGCAGTGCAGTAACGTATTACTGTGTGTGGAGTCAGTGGTTTACCCATATTTTATGTCTAGCTTGTTACGTACATAGAACCTGTTATAACTTACTATTTAAAAAAAAAATATGTATATCTTTTTTATTGATTTTAAAACATTTTGAATACAAAATGGTTCTAAAATAGAACCTCATACATTCAATCCAACAAACAGTGGTATGCCATTTATCATCCTTATTAAAGAGCATTCATAGAGCAATATGACAAAGTTTCGCTACATACCAACCACATCATACTACAAAAACATTACAGACGGTACAAAACAAACATTTATGGTCATAGAAGTCCGCAGTATATTAAGCGTCTAGCGAACCAATATCTGTAGTTAATAAAATAGAGAATGTAGAATATATACTACATGCTTTTAAGCCAGACCTTTAATTAAACTAATTAGGAAGTCTGTCATTTTTTTTTTTTAATTCTTTATTTTTGTTGTGCAGTTAATTACGTTATCGACATACGCCACAACAGCGTGTTTGAGGATGTACTTAGGTTTGACAGTGGCATGTGAGATTGCACATTTTTATATATAAGTAAAACAAGTTTGGTTAAACAACGAAAACGTAAGCATAAGGTAGGGTGATCCACGTTTAACATAGCTAGATTCACTTTGCTAGTGTTTGTGTGTTAGCCGCATGCTTATCATACATTTTGCTTGTCTATAGGCCTTCGGCTTTTTTTTTTTTTTTTAACATAGTAGAAAATATGCTTAGGTAACTTCATACTGTGTATCACTGTTCAGTCGTTTGAGTGCATATCTACTGAGTGTATGAATAGAGTTAAGCGAATTGCTATGCTGGGGTGCACAATGTATATACCTGCTAGGTCTAAACTAAATTCTTTATAAGTTGTTTAAGTAAGAAGAAGAACAATAAAGGATTAGTAAGTATAGAGTTGTGACTACTATATACCCGGATAGGTAAGCAGTGGTGATAATCTATATATAATCAGGCTATTTGCAGTTAACCGTTTAAACACAAAAGGGGGAGCAAATATTTCAGGCAGTGTTGTCCGGTATGGTGGGGAGCAAAGGCAGCATTTGTCAGAGTCTCGCACATGCCGGTCACCTTATCACCACTCTCGCTTCAAGCCGCAGGCAGATTTATTATGACAGAATGCAACGCAACGTTTCGACCGGAAAGGTCTTTTTCAAGCTTGAAAAAGACCTTTCCGGTCGAAACGTTGCGTTGCATTCTGTCATAATAAATCTGCCTGCGGCTTGAAGTTGGAGTGCCTGTGAGTTTTTTCCTCTTGGATTATTGTACTGGGATTGCTGGTCCTGCTCTGGAGCACCCTTGGCCGTTGGGATTGGGTGCGGTTCTCATCACTTACTCTGCTTATCACCACTCTCATCTCGATAGTCCCCTTACAGAGCCAAAGTCCAATGGTTTTAACGGGTCAGGAGAGACCATCATCCCTGGTCTTGCTTCTGAATGTCCGTAGGGCTCCATACACTGTAGGTTGTGTCGCGGGCTGTAGGCCCCACGGTGTGTCAGTCCAGGTTGTGTCAGCCTATGCCCATTCTGGATGCCTTGATTGCATTCCCGGGAAGGTGACCCGCATCCTCGGTGGCTCCTCTATGCTGCGGGTCTGTCCCTCCAGCGGGTGATAATGTGGGCTCACTCACTGCGGTCCGGAAAGTGGCTGCAACCGCGAAGGGTAGCTGGGTGCTGCGCTGGACTCCGAGTCTTGGGCTCGGTGAGGTACTTGCTTGTGGGGCCTGTGTTGCGCTAATGTTTCTGCATGTGTGAGGACGGGTGTTTGTGCCCGTGCGCCCAGGTGTTGTTTCTTGCTTTGCTGGTCTTTTGCGGGCAGTCATTCTAGGGGCCCTCAGCCTGGCGTTGTAATTGCGTCGTCTGGTGGCTGGGCAAAGCCACGCGGCCACCGCTTGAGAGTGTGTGGCTCCTCTGTTGCAAAGCAGTGCCCACAGGCCTCTGCAGAGCTGATCCAGTGCTGCCATGTGCAGGGGTGGCGGCTGGGAGCCCTCGTTGTTTGGCTGGGGCCTGTGCTGGGCCGCTATCTTGGTTTTGCCTTGGCTGCGTTGCACCCCTGCCACCCTCGCGGCCCGCCAATTCTGTCTTCGGGTGTGTTTAGTGTGGCTGGGGAGGTCCGGGATGACCCCCACCAGTCCAAAGGGGGGGGGGTCATTTGTCAGGCTGTTCCGGAGATCCGATCTTGCGGGGAGCGGCTATTTCGCCCGGCTCCAGCTCCGGTAGGCCACGGTAGGTGCTCAGTGTCCCCGGCCCGATTGGCGTCGGGAGTGTGTCTGTTGCTTCCGTGGTGCACGCCCAGCTTGGGTAGTGCACCCTGAGTTGTCTATGGGCTTTTTAATCGTTAGTTTTGGTTTATATTTGCCCGTTGGGCAGGAGCTCGTGTGGTCCACGTCCATTCCGCTTAGCGGTCAGGCTCCATCCGCGGTAGTCTGTTATTTGAGTATCTATGCTTTCATTCTAGCAAGAAATAAACAGACAATTATTAGTATACACCGTTTAACATCAGTAATATATGAAACTAAGTATTACCAAAAAACGATAACTTCCAAAGAAAAAATTCAGAAGGACAATAAAAAGGTCAGATTCAAATTGGTCAAGGAGCCCAAAATTTGCATATCAATATTTTACTGATCTCCCATAAAGAGCCACCACTCAAGTACACGGCAGTTTACTGAGTTAGATTTCAAAATAATTTGTTAGAAACATATAATATTTTCAATTAGGTTTAAATATGAATCAAGATATCTATGATTGGAGTAAATATTGGTAGGGCTCAGGCCCTTCTCCATCTCTAATTGTTTTAACAGTAGGCCTTTAAGTTGATCTTTTGTTGGAATATCTGTTTTTTTCCAATATCTAGCAATTAGGGTCTTAGTTGCCATAAGGCAATGGATTATTAAAATTTCCCCCTTCCCAATGTCTTCCCTTCCAAATGGATGCAGAAAGGCAGTTTCCGCTTTTTTCTCAAGTGTTATACCTCCTATTTTATATATTAGATCACATGCTACATTCCAAAATATCTTAATTCTAGGGCAACTCCACCAGATATGTAACACTTAGAGCTAGAGCCATCTAGCTGAAAATACCGCCAACAATTCAGAGGGTTTGTCTGAGATATCTTAGTTAACCGTGTTGGCACCATATACCATCTATAAATAACTTTTATATAAATCTCCAGAATGTTCAAGCAATGAATATGTTTTTTTAACAATTACCAATGACTGACACCAATTTTTATATTGTATGTTTATTGCTAAATCACTCTACCATTTCAGTAGAGCCTTATCTGGACCTCCCTTCAGTTTTATTAGTTCCAATGCCACCGAGTACATATTCTTTGAGACAGCCCCCATAAAAAATGTTCTAAATAGGATGCCTAAGTCACCTTCCAGCAATAACATGTACTCTCTTAGGAAACTCTTAATATGTAAAAAATTAAATATCTCCCTAGATGGTAGATTAAATATATTCTTTAAGTCCTCATAACTTTTCATCTGCTGTTCTAAGTAAAAGTCCTTTATAGGAAAATTTAAGTCCTTATACCAATATTTCAAATCTATTTCAGACATAATTTGTTCTAAAGATTTTATAGTGACATTGTCATAGATCTTGTCACTGATATTTAGTTTTTTCTTTATATTTTTCCACTCTTTTAATGTTTGGAAAAGAATTAAAGAAGAATGTTCTGTAATATTAAGGAGTTTTATGTTCTTACTAACTTCTCTCCATAGGAGTGGTTCTAAGTTATCTAAACCCAGTCTGTATGCTTCTATTTTGTACCATGCTTGTTCTTTAGATTCAATTAGTTGAAGTTTATTAGCATGGACCATCATATTGGCCTGGTAAATTTGTATAATTAATGGGGAACTCATGCCACCGTGATGGCCTTTTCTCGAATTTTTCTTTGATCTTATAATTTATACCAGGGTTTTTATCGGATCTCTATTCGGTAAATGAACATTGGCCAATGTATAATCTATCCCATTTAATTTTTTCAACTAATATAATAAACCTCCCTTCTGAATCTAAGTTCTTATATTGGCATTCAAAATAAACATCTTTAGAAAATATAATCGAAACCCCACATTTCTTTTTTCCCTGCAAAGAGGCAGAATAAATGAATAGATATTTCTTATAGTGCCACAATTGTTTAGAATCAGTTGTCCAGTGGGTTTCTTGAATGAAACCCAGTTGGATTTTCTCTTTAATTAAAGTATCATACAAGAAGCCTCTTTTAACATGGCAGTTAAGACCTTGTGCATTAACAGAAACGAATCTAACCATGACTGACTCTTTCTTTTTTGGGCTCCTTGACCATAACAAAAACACAAATGACCACCATATAACATGACAATAAAACTAACACATTCATACTGATTCAAAAGCTTTGATAATTTATCATGATCCAAGTACTGGGCACTCAAAGGGAACCCACAGGGAGGGGTTAACATCTCGGAGAGTCGATGAAGAAAAATTTTATTAAAAATCCCTCAAAGAGAAAAAGAGAGGGAGAGGAGAAAAAAATAAATTATATTCATTATCATATATCATCTATTTGTTTAGCTATACAAGTAAGGGTAAGTATCCCAGAATATCTGGTATCCCAGAATATCTGGTAGTGCCTAGAGTGCTTCAAGTTCATTCTCTACCACTATTAATATGGTGCAGGTGAAATCTCAAGTTTCTTCTAACAGTGCTTATACATCCTACGACCTTGGTAGTTTTTTCCCATTCCTATTCCTTGCAGTTAGACGTATAGTGGAAAGGGTATAAAGTGATACCTCATATGTGCAATTCCATAAATGTATCATTTAATCTTCATCTTTATCTTAGTCTCCCATAAAAAAAGGTAATATTTATTATCATATATTATCTATGTGAATAGCTATATATACAAATAATAGCAAGTATCCCAAAGTATCTGGTAGTGCCTAATGCTCTTCTAATTCATTTTCTACCATTATTTATATGGCGCAGGTGAAATCTCAAATTTCTTCTAACCGTGCTTATACATCCTACGACCTTGGGAAAATTTTCCCATGCCTATTCCTTGAAGTTAAACGTATAGTAAAAAGAGTATACAGTAATATCTCATCCGTGCAATTCCATAAATTTACCATTTAAACATCATCTTTAGTCTCAGAAAAAATAAAAAGGTCCATAATTCTTTTCCTTTCTCTCGAATACATTGCTGTTCCTCTCTTATGCTTTTTATTCCAAAGAAGACTGGTGGTTACATATTAATATCAACTAGCTAAACACGTACTTGGTCTGCTATCTTCCAAGTGTCTTTGTATGAAATTAGTAGTGATGATTGCTGGTTCCATTTAAACTTCAAATTGTGTTTCTTCAAACAAGGGAAGACGGTCGCAAATAGACTTCTTCTTTGTCTTGTTATATAGGATACATCTGTTAACACTCTACTTGCTTTAAACTTGTCATCAGATATATTCGTCTTCTTTGCAGTCTGGAGGATCTGGAATCTAAATTCAAATGATTGAAATGCTACAATTACATCTCAAGGGTATTTCTGATCTTGTTTTCTTTGATATAGTCTGTGATATCGGGTCATCTTTGCATCATATTGTTCTATTGGAATCCCCAAACACATGAAAAATTATTTTAGATAATCCTGTAGTTGTCAATCTGTTATTTCTTCCAGAATGTTTCTGAATCTTAAATTCAATCTTCTGGATGTCTTCTAGATCACATAGTTTATCCTCCATTTCTTTGAATTTAACTGTCATCTTATTTTGTGACTCCTTCATTTCTTGCAGCTGAAAATCTCTTGCATCCTCTATTTCTTCCATTTTTTGGATTCTCACATTTAAAATAGAAAGGTCAGATTTCATATCTAAGAATTTTTCACTTAGCTAATTTTTAATATAATTTGAGACATCCTCTAGACATGTCTTTAATAGAGATGGAGTTACTATGTCTTTGACTCGTGAAATTGAAGGTGAAGTTGGAAAGCCTGAGAGGTAGGGTTCTAGGATAGATTTCTCCAAGACCTCTTGATTTTCTTGGTGTACAAAGAAGGAGGAAAGCCTTTTTTCTTGTTTCTGACCTTTCCTGTCAGATTTTGTAGCCATCTTATTATCCTGCACCATTTTTGACGTCATTCCTCTTTCTGTATATCAAAATGGATTAGTGAGCTCACTCTTAGAATAAACACTGCTTTAACTATAGGCATTTCCACTTTTTCTCTCATAAATGAAGGACTTGGTCCACTATTTACTTCAAAAGAGATATATTTACTACGTTGTTTTAAACAGGACCTCTGTGAGGACTATCAACTTCCTTAAGCCCTTTTCTGTATACAACATGCCAGACCTCTCTTATCCTTTTCTTTTGTTTCTATATCTTTTTCCTTAATTCTTCCTTTCTCAGTCCTTTACTTTCCTGCCCCTCCGCCTCACCTCTCTACTGGCAATTATTCATTTAATTAGTTGCTTTATAATATCTTCATTTCGATATATCCTTAATTGTTCTGTGCAAATAGTGTGTATAAAGTAGATTGACCAGTCTATTTACCTTGTGGGTGATTTAGCATAATAGTATCAGCTCCTTTTACTTGTTGCATACAGCATTTTAGTCCCACCATTACCCTAGCGGTTTAACGCGTACGTGTCTCTTTTTCCACCTAGGGTCCACACCATCAGGCTGCAGCAGCTCCCCGCGGGACAGAATAAGTTTTCCGGAGGATTCACCACCCTCCCTCTTCAACAAATCTGTCGGAACGAACTCGTTTTTTCTCGCCAAGGGGGTGGGTAGGGATTAGCTGCTGTGATTAACCACCGCGTAGTCGATATCCCTCATGAGGCAGTGACCGCTCTCCCAGGTTCTCTCCGTTCAGCTCAGCTTCTTCTTCTGTCCGATCGCGAACCCCTCCCCTCACGAAGTGTGCGTAGTTACGTCATCAAGCCCCCTCCTATAACTTACTACTTATACTAACTATACTGTCAGTTTGTATAGTCCACTTTAATTACTACTCATGATAATTCATCTACTGACGGATTTTGCTTGAGCTTATTTCTTATGCCAAATAATTGTGCAGTTTTATCATATGCTATAGTATTGTTTATATTGAAATATTTGTTCTTGCTATTGTGGCATTACGAGCACATTTGTAACTGTAACTTTAAACACAGAAAAAAATAAAGATTGACAAAAAAAACAAAACAAAAAACTGTACTTTCTTATTTATATGTAAGTAGACAGTGCCATATGATGCTAACCTAATATACATCTCACTTCTTGATGCAGACACCAAATCTAGAGACATGTACCACAGTGAAGTAATTGAAGACTATGTCATCAGTGGCTTGTCTTTCACGACCCTGAATGTCAGGAACGAAAATATAGCAGAGGCTTCTAGCAAAGAAAATAGAGATGGTCATGTCTTGGTTATACTACAGGAGCTGCTCCAACATCAAAAAGAGCATTTTCTCCTACTATATACCATCAAATAAAAAATGTATTGATGTATACCATCAAATATTTACATTATTTGTAAGGGACTAGGGAAATCTTTTACTGGTGTTGTTAAATGATGTGAGAGTATGTGTGTGTGTTAAAGTGGAAGTCCTATGTTGTCATATGAAAGGGGAAACCCCCACATTTAATCTCAAGCTGCCTCCTCTTCTGGGCTGCTGCCATATAATTTTATGTCTCCTGCGTTGTTACCACGGATCGCAGAGACAGCTACCAGTTTCGGACAATTTGTGGACAATTGCTCAATTCACTAAAAGGCACAGTGAGTAGGGAGTAAGACTGGCATTTTTACTTCTCATAATTCTCTAATTTTTAACTTAAAGTTTGGCCACAGTACATTTCCTCTTACCAAGGCATTCAATATAGTTCCACACAATAGGCAAGTGTTCCAACTAAAATAAATCAGTCAAGATGAAAATTCTTGTTCTCGAGTAGAACATTGGCTTAAGGATAGAGTACAGAGAGTTGTCATTAACAGTACATCTCCAAGCTGGACAAATGTGGTAAGTGGTGTCGCTTAGCGTTTGGTTCTGATTCTCTTTAACATATTTATAAATGATCTTGAAATAAGCATTGAAAATCATGCTTTACTGTTTGCAGAAGACACAAAACTCTGTAAAGTAATACACTGTGAGCAAGATATTACTTCACTGCAGCAGGATTTATATAGATTTGGGGACTGGGCACTCATACGGAGATTTAAAAAAAAAAAATGTTTTAATTGAAATTTTGAGTGCACTTTACAGAGTATCACGATACATTGCATTTAATAAAACCTTTTGGTGAGAACAGATGGACGTGAAACCTTTTACTCATGTTTTCCGTCACATTCTGGAGCATGTGACCATTTTATTACAGTATTACAGTGAAATAACATTCTTTTGGATTTAGTTTCGGTATTTAACAAAACAGCAAGGAAAAAGAACAAGGGTCAGGGAGGCTGAAAGGAAGACACTCAGTTTGAAAAACATGTATACATTTCAAGTATTGTACATCCCCATTGCAGTGGGGACTTGATCTGATATGCTGAGGGGCACAGCTGTCAGACCTGTCTTTTCCAGGTTAACTAAAAATGACTTGGGGGCATTTTTCTTTCTTCCCTTGAGGGCATGATTGTGGTCTAGAGGAGCAGATGGGTTTGGGATGGCAGTGGAAGTGAGTCTAAATCAGGGACCACTTGTTGATGTGTTCGGTATGATGTCCATTTGACCCATGCCTCCCCCCAAAAATCTTTAGGCCTTAGGTTTCATATTTTCTTGTGGTTTCCAAAATTTGGATACAGGGACTAATGGATGCATGTCCTAATCTGCTAATAGTGGTTTTGGCTGCGAGTAGAATGTGGAAGATTAGGCACTCTTGACATTTTCACATACCTTTTGATTTTGTATAAGGTTTTCAGGATTTGAAGGAAGGGCTATACCTGAGCATGCTTTAATCATCCTGACTATGGAAGTCCAGAACTATGATAGCCAGGGGCGCAGGCACCATACCTGTAACATAGTACCAATGTCTGAGGAGCAACACCAGCAAATATCAGATTTGTTAGGATTGGTGTATAACTTTTGAGTGACAGTTCTAGATGGGATGAGCATAGGGATAGTGGTTTACGTGCAGCAATAATGGTTTGCCAGGTGCAATTTCAGAGTCCGTAGCCCATGTAAGTTTCCCCAGGCCTTAATAAAAGGATAGGCTGGTGCGTGAGAATTAGATGAAGTCCATAGCATATGATTTTTTTTGTATTTTTTTCTCTTCCCCGGGTGTTTTTGATTTGCACAAACCTTTTTGGCACGTCTAGCAGCTGTTGCCCATGTATATCACCACAAGAAATAAGCAGTTTTTTAAAGCCGAGACTAACTAGATATTCAGATACTTGACAGTTTTCCTATAACAGAAAAATTAATGAAGTGTGAATCTTGTAAGAGTTTGTATAAATTTGTGACACTGGGACTTGACCATGGTTAAAGTCAAGGCTAAAGAAAGGCAGTGTGTCAATCGGAAGTGCCAGGGAAATGTCATCTTCCATGGCAGATAAAATTAAATGTAGACAAATGCAAAGTTCTGCTCAAGCAACTTACACCCTAAACATTAGCAAATTAGGGATAACGCATGAGAAGGATTTGGTCATTGTTATAGACAAACTAGGCAACAATGTGCAATGTCATTTGGCAGTTGCTAACACTTTAAGGTATTGTCATGTATAAATAAGGGCATTAATTCATGGGATGAAAATATAACTTTTTTTTCAATCTATTTTTATTGAGGTAAGCAAGTTTATATTACAGAATGGTGAGTATAACGTTAGTACAGTTGATACATAAGAAATAAATAACATAAGTAATGCGCTATCTTAATTGGTTCATCAGTGCTCAGATGCCTTCTTTTACATGCGTTCTTACAGATTTTTACTTTGCATTTAAGACAAGTGTATACTAGTTCGGTGTTGGTTATAGTGTCAGCTAAGCCTCAGGTCTCCTCTGAGGTCGTCTATGTATTCCCCACTGCACTAGTCGGTCAGGTCATCCAGACCATCTCATGTGGAGTGCTAGAGCGTGTGTGCTGCGTCAATGCTGTGTGGCGTAGGTTGCTAGGAGTGAAAATATAACTTTGCCTCTCTGTAAATCACTGGTAAGACCACACCTTAGATATGCCTGTGCACTTGTTCCACAGAAGGATATTATGGCACTAGCAAAAATGGCCAGGGTGGCTAGAAAGAAGGAGGAGGAAAAATATAAATAAATATATATATTTATATATAAATATAAAGACCATTTTAATTATGAAGAAAATGTTAAATTAAAGTCTTTAGTTTTGAAAAACCTGCATCGCTGCAGGGATATGATAGCATTCTACCTATATAACTGGGGCCAATACAAACCACGGTCTGTAAATTCATAAATAGGACATGAGGTCATGCATTTAGACTAGAAGAAAAGAGATTTAGGCAAAGGAAAGAGGTTTTTCTTTTTCTCCCCATTAATAATAATGAGGTGGAATTCTATGCCTGAAGGTGGTTTTATCAGATTCTGTATAAAAAGGTTTAAATAGCAACCTGATGAATACTTGCAAAAACAGAATATTCAGGGATAAAAAGTGACTGCTTTTCTGTGGTCAAGAAGGAACTTTTTCATAAGCTGTTGCAAAATTGGAAAGTCCTTCAAAACTAGGTTTTGGGTCAACAGCAAAACAAATGTGAGGAAGGCTGAACTTGGACACATCTCTTTTCAGCCTATATAACAATGTTTAAGACTTACTCATTTCTGCAAGTAACAGAATGAGTTTCTACTCAACAGGGGCTGATGACAAGTGGAAGGCTTGAGCCCTGGCATGACATAGTACAGTCATCAAGAAGCTAAACTATGAAAACTGTGTAAAGTTATCTTGGATAAGTAGATGTTGCATATCTTTGATTAATATAGTCTAAGAAATAAATGCAGTATAAAAAAAAAACGAAAAAAAAACCAAACAACTTAAAAAAAAAAAACTAAATCTTTAATTCCATTTCTTACAAAAAAAAAAAAAATCTCAGCTTCACAGTATTTGTGCATACAAATAATGTACAGAACATGTTATCAGTTACAAAACCATGTTGGAAGTTTCATGAAATATTAGTATTCAAAAATGAATCAAATGTGTATACACAAGAACAAAAAGTAATGTATTTTATATTGGTATATCTACAAACACAAGGACCAGATGGCAAAAATCAGTCTGCGTGGTTCAGATCAACAAATAAAGCGGAATTAGACATCTACATGTGTTTCAAATCATGAACTATACAGAAGCTTGAAATAATGTTTTGATAAACACTCAAGATATCAGAAACGTATGTACACACACACACTTTTAGAAACCTATTTAAAAAAAAAAAAAAAATATATATATATATATTGAACAATTCAATCAATTACTATAGTGGTTATGGTGACATTTGTATCCTGGCGCAACACCTCGCATTGTAAGCAGTTAAACAATTTTAGAACGGTTTAACTTCTTGCATTGGGTCTGCCAAGCTCTGCTCCCTGCCTCCAACTACTTCAGACAGAGCTTTAAGCATTCTGTTGGCACAAAGCCTGGCTAATGGAAAAACATGCTTAGGAGCTTGCAGCTCTTCAACTGAAGTAGTGGAGATGGAGGATAGTGCCAAGTGTATCCAATGTAAGAGGTTATAAAAATGGTTTACTTACAATGGGGGTAATTTCACCCCACAATACCTGAAATACTTTGGCAGGGATGTGACACTACTCTACATGAAACAGTCCTTCAGGACACTAATCCTCAGACACATTCATTACATCACAGGTATCTTAAGGTCTCAAATTGCCAATGCGCTCCTGCATCCAACATTATAAACCCAAAGGAATACAAGTTCTCTGTTCTGCCTCAGCTATTGCTAGGCTTAGCCTACTGTCTAAGTGTGTCAGCTGATCACTCTACAACAAGAAGCTTAGTCCTACACTGATGTGCTGAACTCCATCATACATAGTGTAGAATGAGAGCTGCGTGCGTGCCCTTTCTCTCTCGGGCACTCCTGGCACCATAACCACAACAATTCACTATAGTGGTTATGGTGCTTGAAGGATCAACTTTCTGTCTGAGCTTCGTGACATACAAGTTTGAAATTAGAAGTTACATAGCAATATAAAAAAAAAAACAAAGGATAATTGACCATTTTCAACTAAGATACCAATAAATGTTTATTCCAGAAATAACTATATAAGACTAAATTCAAAATTGATTAATTGGAGCATTCCTTTAAAAGCACACAGGTTTAGCTTTTTGAGCACATTTTAAAAATATAAAGCTTGCCAATCAATTGTTTTATACCACATATGTATACAGCTGTAACAAACATTACATCATTTTGCTAATTAAACTTAAGGTTTTTTTCCCCCCTCTATTGGTCGAATAAAATGCCATTTACCACTATATAAGCCTGTTACCCAAGCATTTCAGTTATCTGACAAGTTTAAAATTAAGAGTATAAATCGAATCTGGAAAGAAGGAAAAAAAAAATTATAGAGATGTTAAAAGCGGTAATAAAAATTACGTTCATTTCCTCAGAGGAGAATATAACTTCAGAACGTTTGACACAGTAGGGTTTTTTTTGTTTTTTAATCACAAACAGCTTTCTGCTAATTTAATGTCTCAATGCATTCCTGCTATCCTACAATTTTACATGTTGAAATTTTAGGATAGCTTAAAAATCATACTATGAAATCAAGCAAACTGATTTTGGCAATATTCCAGTTATTTTTCTAATTTTAGTGTGTTCGTTCTTTTCTTCCCATTATTTATGTAGATTTAAAACAGAAGGCACGAGCCATGAAATATCTGTGAAAGATAATATTTTAAATAAATACTTTCACCACGGTGAAATTAGAGGAACCAATATCAAACACAAATTGACATGCTTTTATATATAGTGAAATGAACAGTGACCCAATTCACCAATAACATCAAGAAACTGTAATGGGTTTGGCATAGGTCTCCTATAGATTTTACAAAATCATGCTATTTCTCATGACCATGTCAAGACAGGTCCCATGTGAACAAAACATCTAGCTGTTGGTGTTCGATTAAAAAATTTCTTTTTGAACGGACTAAAAAGTTTGTTTATCAGAAACCCGTGACTATCACATTATAAAATAAACTAGAGACATTTGCTCCCAATATATTAGTTTTCTGCTTCCTTGGAGAGGAAAAAAAATATAAAATAAAAAATAATAATATTGATCACCACAATTAAAGAAAATGTGTTGCAAGAGAGGTATAAAAACCATCTTGACCTTCATAATGTTTTATCAACGTATTCTGTTAAGAAGTGCAGACTTCTGACTTGCCCTATTCATTCAGTCTCTGGTATGCATTTCTGAAATTCACACCGCTTGTGTTTCCAGTCTTCTAATTTCTTTGACCACCAGATCAATGTTGATTATTGGGTTAAAATACAAGGCCCAGTAAAACAAGCAGTTGCAGATAAACTGAGGAATTACAGGCCAGAAAATTGCAACAAAGAGTCCCTGGGTTGACATTTTCCAAAAATGTCCCCACATTAGACGTGGAAGAGATCTGAAAGACAAAAATAAGAATTATATACATGATAATTTAGTAATTGAATAATAGGTGTTAGAGAGAGTTAATTTTTAGGGCAGCTCTCACTTTGAACATGGCACACAGTTCATTGAGACGTCTGGGGCCATTCATTCTGGTCCAAGATGGGTATAATAAAAAAATAAAATAAAACAAGGGTTGCCTTTCTAGGTAAAGTTAGCAGGAGGAGAGAAAGAGAGGGCTCTCCCTGCTGAGTCTGGAGTTCATGCACTGCTGTCTTGACGGAAATATTCAACATCTGGTGCGCCGAAGGTTGCCCATCCCCTGCTTTAGAGGAACCCATTAAGAAGGCAGATAAAGTGGAAACGCTTCTTTTTTTCTTCCCCAGGATATATGACATGGAACTGATCGCTTAGGAACTTTAGTTTTTCTGGCCATGGTAGTGGAGGTTGGACCCCAGGTAAAACGTAAAACCATTCTACTTACAAGGTAGAGGTGAGATTGCACCAGGGGACTCCAGGCCCAGTAACTACTACGGTAAGAAGTGTGGTATACTGTAGAGGTTATGGTGCCTGGAATGTTTCTTTAGCGGTCTAGTTTCCTGCCTTATTGGCTGTGAGGGAAGGACCTAAACCAGTGGTAGATGCTACCGTCGAGCAATGAGGGATAGCGCCTTGAGCTCATGCTGCAGCAGATACTACTATCCCGTCGCGGCATTCAGTCACTATGCTGTTCCGGCCAGCACTACTCACGATTGGTGTAGAGCCCTCACATTCTGACGTCACAGGCACCCTCACAGGCTAAACATGTTAATGCCACAACAAAAAGAAAACCTACTGATGAGTGCAATGTCACAGATTTAGTATGTTACCACATTAACATAAGCACCCACATGCCAAGGAACCCTTCAGAACCCAATTAAGATACTTCTCCCCCCCCCACCTCCTCCCCAGAGAGGATTTTCCATTCTCCATCTGTCCAGTCAACTCCTCTTACTATTTCAGCTTGCGTATGCTTTGATATAAAAATATCATACAGTATAGCTAAAGGATCAGAATATTGGTGTGAAAAGTGGTGAAATGCAGAGATAAGACCTGTGGCTCTGATAAAGGTGTGTGGACTTTATTTTGTAAGAGATCTAGAATATTTATGTTAAAGATTATAATTATTTTAGTTTCATTTAACATGCATGCAAAGCGATGTATGTAGAAGGAAGACACGGGCAAATACCTACTTTAGTTCTCTCCTTGACCACAATCTCCAGAATGAGAATAATTCCTGGACGGAGAGCAACATGGCATTAACAATAATAAACCGGGATGTCCAATAATGAACTTCTAACCAGTCCCAAGCAAACTCAGCAATAAGTTGATATGGAAGAAACAAATACTTCACAATAAACTCTCTCCATTGCTTCCATGTTGGTTCATGCAGATCCTGTCGGTGGAATGGGTAGATTAACATAAATAAATTCAGGATTTCAAAATAGGTGATAAAGGAACACACCACTGCAAAAACTATAGTGAACGATAATATTGACACAAGACATCTGGAGGCTTTACAATTTTTTTTTAATACAATAAAAAGAGAGTTACCCAAAACCTTTGGAAGTGGATGGGGCACTAGGCATTGGGTACGGTAAAAGATTTTCACTTACAAGGAAAATGGCGTCTAATGTCACAGGAGGCCTCACGTGGTCCAATTATAGGTGCAAGCCTGAGATAGAACATCATACCCACTACTACACAGTAGTGGTTCTGGGTCACTAGGCCCAAATTCTTATTTGTAAGATGTGACCAAAACTAGAAGTAGCCAAGGCACCGGAGGTCGCTTGCTCACACATTGATAATAAAGAATGTCCATTTGTGCCTTAGCATAATTAACTTTGGTCATAAGAAATGGAAACTTTTTTTTTTAAATAATAATTTCAAAGTAATTTCTTCTCGATTTTGTGGAGGTTTTGAACTGCACTTCCTATTTCATGAATACCTGAAATTATCTTTTGCAGAAAGAATTAGACTTGGCCCTTTAACCCCTTAAGGACACATGACATGTGTGACATGTCATGATTCCATTTTATTCCAGAAGTTTGGTCCTTAAGGGGTTAAGGGAGTTGGATTTTTGCCTTTTTATTACTACATTCAACTTGCTTACAATTATGTCAATATTTACGGTTGGTCTTCAGAAAAAAAAACCAAAAACAAACAAACATGAAATTAGGCTATGCCAACTGCCACAATTAATTTAGTGGCAGTATGGCTATTGCTATATGTTTTGAAGTTTGTTATAGATGCTGGAGGACGTTTTGACAACCCTAGAACATCGTATTTTCCTACCCTGGTCTCATCTCTCTAGCTGCATGCAAGTAAACAATGCAAGTTTACAGTATCTTAATTCAGAATCCACCCTCACAGTAACGTCTAAATTATTTTAGTACAGTCTTCAAATGTAAAGAATAACTTCACAATTCTGCTACTTACATCATTGCAGGTGTTCCATGCCTGACACTCCGATATATTGTTACCAGCTAACAAATACACCAGTTGTCTACTCATACACACATATATACCCCCCTAACATTCATGTTCATTTTATTGCTTTTCCCTCCCTTATCCAACCACATAAACATTTAGGAGGTAATGTACTCACAATGAATGTGGAGATTATATCTTCCTCTTGATCTTCTTCTAAAGGACACGTTGTGTGGATGAAAGGTAAAAATGTTTCTGTGTAGTCAAAGACGTACATGTACAACATGCTGAGCCGTGGAGAACTCTTCAAAGCATATAACAGAAATAATGACTTTCCAGAGTTCACTGCCTATAATAAAAAAAAACAAAAACAAAAAAAAAAAAACATGACTTTAGTAGAAGAATTTAAAGAACAGAAATTTAGAGAGAAATAAATAAATAAATAAAAAGCCTCTGGTGGCTTTATTGGCGTTTATTCACTAAACAGGAAGTCATTACAAACTGAAAACTAACTGCAAAATGAAGGCACAAAAAAACAAACAAAAATGCAGAATCAATAGCCCCCAAATTTTGTATCAGTACAACAGAACCTTTTGTCATTCTATTAAAATTAGTAAACTGTCAGGGTTATTCACTAATATACGAATGGTCCGGAACTGAAACGTGCAAACGCTGCACAGAGCCATACTAAATCCTGGGAACACTATTTAACAGTGTTTTGATTTTGCAGACATTGAATTGAGTTCTCAGAGGATCTTACTCACTTCTCTCGACACAATTCATTTATCTCACTATTCCAACTTATGCAACCTGAAGGTTTTCAAAATAAATAACTTCGTACAAATAAGTACCAAAATACAATTTTTGTTAAATATCTATATGGGAGGATCAGTCAAGTGTACGGCTAAGCCCTAATAAAATGGCAGGCACTCCAGGCTTCAAAAACTACAATGTGATGTAGAACATCTTGGTTCATATGCATAATTTTAACACTTAATGCTCCACAAGTCTCAAGGTAGTTGAACTAAAAGTATAGTGGACTTAAAGAATTTCTCCATTTCACCCACTTTGGCCTCACATTTTTTAAATCAGCTTGAATTCCTGACTATTTTCACTTTAGTAAAAAAACCATGTTAGTGATTGTCATCTCTGAGTGAATCATCTTTGCTACTGTTCCAACATCTATTAATTGAACCAGTGCATCAATAGATCATGCTCCTACCACCACAAAGTTTATTCCCTGGTCTATTCTTGCTCAAAAGAATGTCACCAGTATTTACCAACCTTTTAGCCACTGGTTATTTATGCAATGTTGTTTTTACTTGCTTTCCATGATTAAAAAAACGACCTTAAATGCCTTGGGCCATTGTCAAACATTTAATAAACCAGTCAAAAATTATACCAACAAGACTGTAAGTAAAGGTCATCTAACCTTGCCAACACAAGATGGCTGATTAGGGATCAGATTAATGCTCAACCATTAAAATATGAGACATGACAGCTTGGTCTAATACCCAGTGGATGGAAAGGTAAATAAAACAATGTGTCAAAACAATGTGTCAGCAACCTGCCTACCTTCATATGCATTTTGCAAAAGAAGAGATGTGTCAGGTGCTCACTCCAAAAAATAAACAATAAGATAGGCAGCAGTAACAAATACAAGGATTCCCAGCCTTGTTGGAACAGTAGTATAGGAGAAAAGGGAGGAAACCGCGCCTTACATAAATTATATATACATACACTTGATGTCTCTTAGTAGTTTCGGATAATTTATCCTCAAAAAGAAAACAGAAAGAGTATATACAATAGTGTAGTATGTTAAATAATATTAGGAAAAAGTAATAAATAAAACGGAGGTATTTTTCACTCACATTTGGTAGAGCTACTGTGGGAGCTCTACCATAATTGGCATGGACGGTACAATCCCCGTCTTAGGATAAGAAGTCCAACGTCTTAGGTACTCCAATGGTGTAGTAGTGCAGATAAAAATGGAAAACAAGAAACTCCAATAGTGTAATAGTTCCAACTCCAAGTATAAATGGATAAATAGAAATATATATACTCACATTTACTAGAGCAGAAAACTTGCTCTAGTTTATAAGGCTTGCAGTGGTATAATCCCCACTGTAGGATATACAGGCCAGGAAGTAAGATGGTGCAAATAAAATATAAAATATAGCTTTAAAAGATATATATTTAATAATGTATCAAACAGAATAAAATAAAAGCTATATAAAATAACACTTAACGCGTTTCGCCAATTGTTTTTTTTACACTTCTGATGAAGCCATTGGCGAAACGCGTTAAGTGTTATTTTATATAGCTTTTATTTTATTCTGTTTGATACATTATTAAATATATATCTTTCAAAGCTATATTCCATTTTATTACATTTTATTTGCACCATCTTACTTCCTGGCCTGTATATCCTACAGTGGGGATTATACCACTGCAAGCCTTATAAACTAGAGCAAGTTTTCTGCTCTAGTAAATGTGAGTATATATATTTCTATTTATCCATTTATACTTGGAGTTGGAACTATTACACTATTGGAGTTTCTTGTTTTCCATTTTTATCTGCACTACTACACCATTGGAGTACCTAAGACGTTGGACTTCTTATCCTAAGACGGGGATTGTACCGTCCATGCCAATTATGGTAGAGCTCCCACAGTAGCTCTACCAAATGTGAGTGAAAAATACCTCCGTTTTATTTATCACTTTTTCCTAATATTATTTAACATACTACACTATTGTATATACTCTGTTTTCTTTTTGAGGATAAATTATCCGAAACTACTAAGAGACATCAAGTGTATGTATATATAATTTATGTAAGGCGCGGTTTCCTCCCTTTTCTCATATGCATTTTGCAACCCATTAAGATCCCGATTACAAAAAAGTGACCTCTTATTTAATCACCTTCTCTAGGGGGAATGGTTTAACCAAATTATATACCATTATTGCAAACATGCAAGGCAGACTTTTTCAGAAACCAAAGTCCGTTCAGATAACTTGGTTATGCAAAGTTTAACACCATGAAAATGGTGACACTAGTTAAGATATTTATATACCTTCCGAATGTTGCCGGGAACGGTCCCTTCATACTGGTGTAAAAATCCCAGGCTTTTCATGCTGGCAAGGCTTAAATACAGTTTTTTTTTCTGTAGCTACACCCAGGACACTCAGCACCCAACCCTGCAGGATTTGCCCTAAGCAGAGCCTGGGCCCAATACAGCATTGTAACAGCTACACCCAGGACTCACAGCACCCAACCCTGCAGGTTTGCCCTTAGCAGAGGTAGCATTTCTGGATGACCATCTTGAGAATATCTGGACTTCTTTTTCCTATTTCTGTTTTAAATTATATTCCCATCTATCTCCATCCCCACAGTATTACTGCTTAATTGATGACTATTGCACCCTTCACTCTTGTTTAGTTACGTGTTCTTGCATAGCAAGACCACTTAATGTTATCTCACATATATATTATTCTTATTATTGCCAAATTTACCACCCTAACTCCTCCCACAGTTTTTACACTACATAGACAGAAATATACCGAAACATGCGGATTGTTCCCGATTGGATTGCTATTACTTTGTGGAACGTTTCGCCAAATGGTTCACGGAATATCGTCGTTCTTGTGGCGAAATTGGTCCCATAGGAATGAATGGCAAAATGTTCAAAACTAGAGTGGAAGCAGGCAAAAGCAGGACATGATTTCTAAACTGCCACTACTCACTCATTTTCAAGCCCACCTACACAAATCTTATATCAAAACGTTCAGCTATCCCTGCTGCCACTAAACATGTCCATGGCTAAGCCATAGTCCCGATAGTTTTCACAATATGACCATTTGTTTGCAACTCAAGCCGTCCATTGACATTCATTGAAACTCCACTCTAGCCAGCTCAAATTTGAAGGGCAATTTCTACACTGCGACTGTGCCTTCATTTTTAATATTGGGTCTTGTGATTCTCACAATATAAAGCTCTTCGCTGTAGGATTTATAGTTTGTAAAATATGACCATTTGAAGATGGCAACCGCCAAAATACTCTGACCTGTGCCAGGCTGGAGCAGCAAGTGACGTCATAGAGAGGGCCTTTTGTACACCTGCTAATGTTTTTATAAATGTATGTTTTAATGTATCTGTGAAGCACTTTGGGCAACAACGTTGCAATTAAATGTGCTAAATAAATAACAGTTACTCCACCCACTCCAGTTGTAGACTACTGGTGGAGGCAAGAACATTTCACACAATTTCCCCAGAAATTGTAGATTTTCTAGTTAAATGTTTGTTTTGCTAGTGTTAGTTCTTGCACTCTAAGCCTTGTTAATTTATGATGTTCCCTATTTATGACTTACCAATCTGATCTCTGCCATTCCCTCATATCCTTAAATTTAAATTCCCTTTCATCTGCTTTTTCCTTGATTTTGTTTTTAACACCTTAATGATTCCCCACCCACAATCTGTCTCATCTAACCCTGGATTCTCTTCATAGCCTGGGCCCAATACAGCATGGTAACAGCTACACCCAGGACTCACAGAACCCAACCCTGCAGGATTTGCCCTAAGCAGAGGTAGCTCCTAGCAGCTGATAATGTCTCTCTAATCCCTGGGTAACCTACTGGTGACCCAGGGATGGTGTTAGTACTGAGTCACCTGGTACTAACACAAAAAAAAACAATCTAATATCGAGTCCATGTAACTCACTATAATTCCTCCTTTAAAACTGCCCTCTGGAATGCACGCTTTGTGTACAGCACCATTAAGTCTACTTTCATCCATGACCTATTTATCTCACACACCCTAAACCTACTTGCACTAATCAAAACATGGCTCTCTCCCTACGATACTGCTACCCTGCCTCACTATCCTTTGGTGTCTCCACTTTACACACAACACAAGACAAACAGAGTAAAGGTGGCGGTGTAGGTTTTCTGCTTTCACCCCACTGCGCCCCCCCCTTCCCTCTCTGTTCCATTCATTCAATTCGCCTATCCAAACTCTTCTCTGCTAACATTGCAGTTATTTATCGTCCCCCTGGTTCCCCCTCCTATTCCGTGACCACTTTGCTGCCTGGTTACCCTACTTCCTCTCTCTACTTCCTAATATTCCATCCCTAATTCTTGGGGACTTCAATATTCCCATTAACCCACCTTTGACCTCAGCAGCCTCTAAACTACTTTCAATTACTTCCTCCCTCAGGCTATTGCAGTGGGCTAATTCTCCCACCCATGTAGCTGGCAATAACCTCGGCATCATTTTCTCTAAAGCATGTACAGTATCCAATATCTGCAACACTCCATTTCCTCTCTCTGCTCACTTCTTATTGTTTGCTCTCCAGAACCCCCTCACCCAACAACCTCAGCCTAACCCCCCTAAACTCAGGAGGAACCTTAATTCTATTGACCTCCAGCAGTGGTCAGCTGATATTGATTCACAACTGCTATCCATCCCTTCTCTTTTCCTGTCCCTCACTGGTCATGTCCACATATAACACTACCCTCCCCTCTGCCTTGAACACTGTAGCCCCGTTCCAAACATGCACCTTGAGGAGGACACGCCCTCAACCATGGCATACTAAATCGACACGCTATTTGCAAAGTTGCTCCCGTTGTGCTGAACGCTCCTGGAGGAAGTCTCGCACCCAGTCAGACTTTCTCCACTATAGATTCATATTGTGTTCATAAAGCGCAGCCCTTGCCCTCGCCAAACAAACAGACATACTTTTCTTCTCGTTAGTTCAAGCTACTGCAATCCCTGGCATTTGACAACTTTAACTCTTTTTCGCCCTGCTGTGACCACCCCCCAAACTAACCTTACAGCCGATAGCTTTGCATGCTACTTTACCAACAAGACTGAACAGCTAAGGAAAGAATTCTCCCCACCTTGCCATTCTCTTTCTCAACCACATGTAAATCATGCCTTTCCTACGCTTCAGACTTTCTCCCCGGCTACTGAACAAGAGGTGGCTGCGCTTCTCCTTTCCTCTCACCACACCACTTGCCCGCTCGATCCCGTCCCATCACACAGCATTAGATCTCTCTCCCCTTGTCTTGTGCCTTCCTTAACACACTTCTTCAACTGCTCTCTCCTCTGGCATTGTCCCTGCAGACCTTAAACATGCCACTGTAGTACCTATCCTGAAAAAATAAAAAAAATATAAACAACTCTTGACCAGTCCTCCCCCTCTAACAATCGTCCCATATCCCTGCTCCCTTTTTCCTCAAAGCTTCTGGAAAGACTTGTCTTTGCCCGTGTGTCTAGTTTCCTCAATTCCAACTCTCTACTTGACCATCTTCAATATGGCTTCCGCCCTCTCCACTCTGAGACTGCTCTAATCAAAGTTACTAATTACCTAATCGCAGCAAAATCCAGAGGCCACTACTCCATATTAATTCTTCTTGACCTTTCTGCTGCCTTTGACACAGTTGATCATGCTCTCCTCCTTCAAACTCCAATCGCTCGGTCTCTGTGACTCTGTCCTCTTGTGGTTTTCCTCCTCTCTCCCAACGCTCAATGTCTCCTTTTCTAAGGATACCTCCTGCCCTCGTCCTGTCTTGGTTGGAGTCCCCCAAGGCTCTGTCCTTGGTTCCCTTCTATTTTCTCTTTATACTGCCTCTCTTGGCAAACTTATTGTCTCTTTTGGATTCCACTACCACCTGTACGCTGATGACACCCAGCTATATCTCTCCTCCCCAGACCTCTCCCCTGCCGTCCTGCAACGTGTCACCGCTTGCCTTTCTTCCATCTCCGACTGGATGTCCTCCCGCTTTCTGAAACAATCTCAAAAACTGAACTCTTTGTCCTCCCCCTAATACTGATCCTCCTCTCTCGCTCTCACTTCAAGTCAGTGGTATCCACACAAGTCCATCCTTGCAAGCGCGCTGTCTTGGCGTCATACTGGACTCTGGCCTCACCCCACACATCCAGTATATTACCAAATCCTGTAGATTTCAACTTAAAAAGCCCGGATCCGCCCCTTTCTTACAAAAGATGCTACCAAGAAGCTTGTCCATGCTCTAGTAATTTCCCGCATGGATTATTGTAACCCTTTCCTAATTGGTCTTCCCAAAAGCTGTATTGCTCCGCTACAGTCTGTAATGAATGCTGCCGCCAGACTGATTTCCCTCTCTAGTCGGTTCTCTCACACCTCACCCCTCTGTCAGTCCTTACATTGTCTTCCTGTATCCTATAGGAGTCAATTCAAAGTGCTAACCCATACATATAAAGCACTGAACAATTCTAGCCCCTCTTATAGCTCTTCACAGATCCATAGGTATGCCCCTTCTCGGTCTCTCTGCTCTGCCCGTGACCTTCTCCTGTCCGCTCCTCGCACCCATACAGCAAACTCACGCTTGCAGGACTTCTCACGGGCGGCTACCATCCTATGGAATAGGCTGCCTACCCCAATCAGACTCTCCCCTAGTCTTCAATCATTTAAAAAGTGCCTTAAAACCCATCTCTTTAGGAAAGCATATGGCCTCCCAGAGTAACCTCTACCTTACATACCCGTTGCTTGCCCTCTCCTAAAGAGTAGCACTCTACTCTCTCCTCCAGCTCTGCTTCACTCCCACCTTATTTGATTGATATTTCTGTCCTAATGTGTTCTATACCCCACATCCTATAGACTGTAAGCTCGTTTGAGCAGGGTCCTCTTCAACCTACTGGTCCTGTAAGTTTTCTTGTAATTGTCCTATTTATAGTTAAATACCCCTCTCATATTATTGTAAAGTGCTATGGAATCTTTTGGCGCTATATAAAATGGCAATAAATAAATAAAACAGGGGTACCCTACTGCCTTTCCCGAACATACAGATACATTTACCTTACCCAACTCTATTCTTTCAGTACTTACAATTGAAGAGTATTAACTTAAGGGGCCGGGGCCTGAGCCTCATGGCAACTGGTCGCATAATGCAGGAGCTCTCCACTCGGCTCTTGATTTAGGCAACTTATTGCACATTTTACCATGCACAGCCGACACAGATGGTGCCTTACCTGCTACTTACACCAACTGGAACAACACGGTTCAGTTTACAGTGGTACCGACTCAATTACTTGGCAAAGCAGTTAAGGCCTGGTGGAGATACCGGGCGGGAGAAGCCATAAATGTGGAATCGGCTGATCTGGGACTTACGCTTGTACCTGACAAATGCCAGATTATCCAGTAGACTTCTACCATCTAGAATTTTGCAATATACTTCATCTGTGTTTTGCAATTTATCTGTATTCTCTTATTTTCGCTCTTTTTTTACTCTTAACTTTTAGTCATTTCGCATGTTAGAATCGTTTGAATGGGAGTTATGATAGTTTTCTCAGTGCAGTGGATCACTTAAGAGTACAGAGTCAGCATGTGTTTAAGCTCCATTACTTTGTGTTACTCTATTAGTGATTTCCATGTCTAGATAGGTTGTTAGTTGGCATTTTGCTACCCAAATCTATAACTATATAGTTCTAGCTTGTTTCTTTCATAGAAAAAGTACAGATTTCTTGAGATAGATACACATACTACGATTACTATACTTTTGTGGAATGTCTGAACTACCGGTTTTGTTACGCAGTGCACGGAAAAAAAAAAGAATGTCAAAAATAAAAATGTGTATCTTAACACCCACTATTTTGGAAGCCCCCAGTGGGCACACAAGCGATGCTGGCGATCCCCCATAAAACCAAAAACCCTCTCTACAAAGCCCTATTGGAAATTATTCCAGAAAAAAAAAAAAAAAAAGTTTGTTACAACGGGAATCAGAATGGGAGCAATCCCAATGTTTCATCATTATTTTGGAGATACAAAACTAAGGAAGGCACAATGATGGCCCATATGGTAGGAGTGCTCAGAGATTAAGGATAGCTGTACTGCTGTCTGCCTCACATATACATGGCTTATCCATCACCCCAAACATGCAGTTCTTTCTGTTCCCTCGCAACATCCCACTAGCTTCTAAACATAGCTGCACAAATTATTTTGGAGGCCAGAAATCTGATCACATTATACTGGAAGCAATATGTCAGTTGATACCTCTACACTTTAATGGAAATTCACAGAAAGATGGCTGCCTAGATGGCTAGATTACTAGACTAAAACAGTGAGCAGACATGAGGGCTTACTTTCTCACTTTGAATAAATAACGGTGCAGGGGTTGGGGCAATCAAAAAATGGAAGATAACAGCACAATTTCACATATTTACGAACAATTCTTAAATTTTACGAGGCGTTCGGCACTATTGGTGTGGATTAAGCTATAGGAAGCCTGTACGGATTGACAGGACGTATGTGAAATGTTTAGAAGGTTCAGTGTACTTGCTTTTTTTTTTTATTTCTGTATCCTCATTCCTTACTGTTTTGTATCACTTTATGAATCTTGTTTTGAAATAGGCATATTGATACATTTATGCTGAAACAAATCAATAAAAATGAATATATTATTGAATGATGCATAAGATTAGAAGTGGAGGGGGGTGACAGTGGTTATGGTGCTTTAAACTAAAAATTGTGTTTGTTGGACATCAAAAAATATTTGCAGACATTAAGTCATTTATCATGGCTTATATTTTTGTGTAAAGAAACATCTAAAAAAAAAAAATAAAAAAAAAAAATGGGACAATACAGACCCAGTGGTACTGAAATAAAGAATATTATTGTGCTTGCATGACGGATCTCACATTTATATGAATCTATTGAAACTACATACGGTCTAGAGATTGGAGCAAAGAATGTACTTCGGAAATCCGTAAGGGATCCAAGAACTGAAAATATAGGGATCTGATGGATTTTTTAAAATATATTTTCAGCATCATAAAACAGTACACTAAAATGTTCATTACATGTATTCAGTAAAAGGACTAAAAGTTCACCAAGGAAGAGGGCTGTAAATTTCTGAGTCAACGCTGTGTGTCATACATACAGATTTGAGATAATTTTCACTCCTAACAATCTCTGAGAAGATAGATAAAATTAACTTGTACCTTATATTCCCATATATTTTGAGGAGGCTTGACACCAAGCGTTTTCACTCTGTCCAACTCTAGTAAAATGGCTCTTCTGTGGCTGCTATTTTCTATACTAAAAGGTTCTTTGGAGAATTCTTCCTCAGCCAACGTCAAAAGGAGTCTAAAAACACAAACATGAGTTTTAGAAAGGGAAGGGAGTACAGCTTTGAAAGCATTAAGAATATAAAAAAAATCTGCATTTAATGTTCTGTGCTTGCACATGAAACTTAAAATAATTAGTTATAGCATTTATAGTAGGATAGTTCTTAAATACTATTTGCTATGCACATTATACGATCACAGAACACATTTAAAATTAAATCGGTACAAAGATGCATCTCGAATTAAAGATGCAAAAACCACAGCACTTCAAGGTTTAAGATATTTTGTTTAACTACTTAATTTAACAAACATTGATATTTGAGCAAATACAACAATATGTACGCTAGATATTTTAGTTAAATAAAACAAGTTTTTTCTCCAAATAGGAATTAGTCTATTAATTTGCAGATAGATAATGGTAAAAGTGCACTCAATCTCAATTTCTAATGGACACTTATAATGCAAAATTATAACCTAATAATTTGAAATATTCAAATGGTAAACATCTGGTTGCAAATATTAAAAATTATAACAAGGGGGGGCAGGGTCAGACCGCCATGCTGACTGCTCGCATGTCAGAGAGACTGAGAGATCGGGCTTCCCAGGCTGCCATCTGCGGCTCAAACAGCTAGTCTGAGCCGGAAAATTAGAGGCGGCTGTGGCTGATATTGCAGGCTCAGATATCGGGAGTCTTACAGCCCATGGAGGTGATACAGGACTTTGGGGCCTGCGGCCAACTCAGGGGTGGATGGCCGATCACCCTGCTCTCTTCCCCAGCTATCGCATACTGGCTACATGTCGCTACTGCTTGTGTGCCCCCCCCTCCCTCAGTGATCAGAGCTGACCCCTGAAAATCTTCCTGGGCCATGCAGCTGCATTGCACTGCCATGATCATGACACCACTGCAATCGGAGAAGAGCTGTCGGCTACCTACACTACCATACCCAGCAATCAAGACTGATCCCTGCAGTCAGAACTCTGCAGGGTCTATAAGGGACTTCACATTCCATACACCTAGTCAAGTCAGGGGTGGAAGTAAACAGAGTGGTCACTATGGCTAGTTTATATATCCTGGTTGCTTACCAAGAGGCTTCCAGTGGTTTATCCTAGTTTGTTTAAACTAGCACTGATTACAGCACTCAACTGAGGTTTATGTCCAACTACCAAAGCTTGAGCCAATCTATACTACTCTTGTTATCTTGCGTATTATTTTACTTAAAAAATAAAATAAAAAAAAACACACACACACACACACACACACAATAAAACAATTTTACAACCCACACATCTTGATTATTCATTAGGATTATGGAGTATTGTGACAAAAGCAGTCGCTGTAATCCCTGCATGCAAAAGGTCATATACAACTACATACAAACACAGCGTCATGGTGGTTGGTGTGATTTATGCTGAAGGCCAAATACTTTGAATCGGATACTATGCTGTAAATCAGTGTTTTCCAAATTAGTCCTCATGGACCAGCAACAGTCCAAGACTTCTAAATCTTCCTTTTCAATTTAATGGAAATACTAACAAGACCCAGACTGTTAATGGGTCATTAGGACTGATTTGGGAACCACTACTGTATACTGAGGATCGACCAATATTGATTTTTTTAGAGCAGATACCGATAATGTGTGAACTTTCAGGCCGATCGCTGATAACTTACCAATATTCTGTACATTTACCATTTTGAAAAAAAAACTATTTCTACACAAATCTGCTGTTAACTGAACATTTAATTGTTTTTGCAAATTATTTTTTATTACTGTAAATGCACAAAATATACATGCCAGTCAAAAAATTTTTATGTTTTCAAAAATGTGTGTGTAGTGGATGCAGTGAGAGCATTTGATTAGTGAATGCAGTGTATGTGTTTGTGTATTGTGTGTAAAGTGAATGCAGTGTATTTATATAATGCAGAGTGTGTGTGTGTAGGTATGTAATGTGTGTAAAATGGGGGGGGGATTTTTATTTTATTTTTTTAGTCCCCCCTCCCTGCTTCTTACTTGGTCAGGGAGGGGGGAAAAGGCATTCCCTGGTGGTCCGGTGGCATGGACTGTGCAGTGGGGACCCGCAGCAGGCTCTTACCTTCCCAACAGCTCCCTTCAGCTCATGGCAACGCTCCGACGGCCGCAGGACTGGTGAGATTTAGACAGGGGAGCTGAAGCTAAGTTAAGAGCTTGCTGCGGGCCCTCAAGGACCACCGGGCTTGTCATGGGCCCGGCGGTCCTGATCTGCATTATCAGCAATATCTGTATCTCTATAAGCCGATACCAATGTTGCCGAAAATAACGAATATCAGCCTATAATATCGGCCAGACCGATAATCGGTCGATCCCTACTGTATACTGTTGAACAAGTGGTGGAGGATTGAGAGGAGTGTTATAAAATAAAGTGAAGAATTACAGTTTCTAAGACTTAATTTCAGCACATAACACATTAAAACCAGTAAATGAATAAGCCATATATTATTTCTTGCCTTCCATTAACTGCCTCCGATAAAAATCGTTCTTTGTAATGGGAAGCCCATGGACCCAATTGCTCTAGCCAAAGGACAACCTCTTCAGGAGTCCATTTAGAAACTGGTTTATGAACCAAAAGGTCATGTTCAGACTCTCTACTGCTCCAGTGATACACAAGCAGAACAACCTATGGTTAAGAGAAATGTAAGAGACAAGTTTTTAAAGTCAAAAATCTTGCAGCATTCTACAAGAATAAAATATAAAACATCTGGTCTGCGAGACACCAGTGTGAACACAAAAAAATACGCTCTAATCTCCAACTGCTGCATATCAGGTGAAATGAAAACATTCCATAAATGTATTTTAAAACCAATGCAATTGAAAGTTTTTGTTGGTTATCAAACAGAAATCCCAGGTTGAATTGCTACATTTGTTTTTCAGACAAATATTTTGAGAAAGTTATGCAGCTAATAATGAGATGAAGGGATTAAAATCATAAATTTGCACTTACCCCAGTTTGTCAAGTTTAATTTAACAAAAGGTTATTTTTACTAATAGGTAATGAGAGAATTCAGGAGAGTTAAATATGTTCCACTGTGTATTTACTTAAGTCCGAATTAAAATTTAAGGCCAAAACAGATGAACTGGAGTCCGCTATGCTTTCATTTTGGCTACTATGACCATCATTTTAAAATTCACTCTGAAGTCTCACTTGAGTGAATAACCTGGTAAGTGCAATGTTCAGAGGTCCTGGTGATATATTGGGATCACAAATTCAAAGTGGCCTCTACCAATGTATAGAGTCACACTCATCAGCAACAGTGTGCCAATAAATAAAACACAAGACGGTCTGCAAACTCAATGCTGTATTCTCCTTTTCAGCTATTGCTTTATGAAGCGAGTGGTGTTAAATCTATGCGTTTGTAGATAAAAATGTATCCTTACCGCCACTGCAGTTAACGCAGTCAGAACACCAGAGAAGAAACCCCCTCCTCTTTGGGGGTTCTGACGAACATCTCCAGAAGATGAGGTTTTGTTCTGATCACTGCCAAATTTACTAAACTCTTGAAGGATCTGTTTAAGTTCATTGTTTTGCTCAATATCCTGATACTTCTGTTGTATTTGATCAGGAAACAGTTTTTCTATGACATCCCTAGGGAAGGGGAGGAGGAGATGATAAAATAAATAAAAATAAATTTATTATTGCAAAGATTAAGACATTTTCTAAACCAGCTAGTTTAGCCTCAGTTTAGTTATTTGGAGATTGAAGTCTATTGTAATTGGTTGTACAATTAATGTAAATCTCCCATATTACAGGCATTTAAAAAAAAAAATAGAATAAATTAAAGGTAGACTACCTCTGCACTATAGTGTTCCTTTAACGGTAACCACTGTCAAAATTTATATTTAAAGTCACCTACATCTAGCAAATATTCTCAAGTACATATTTATGGAAGCCAGATCTCCAAGGGAGCTATTTATGTATAGGTTTCAGTATAGACGATAAAAACAAAATTTTAGTGTAATATTTGTTCATCTAAAGCTACAGAAAAGCCGGGGTAGAACAATCACAAACATTGCTCACCTAAGTAGTATGTTTACTTTAGGGAATCCTTCCCACTTCTCTCTGCATTCAGGGCACTCCGTTTTCTTTGAGGATGACCACCAGAGCGCAAGACAGTGCCTGCAGAAACTATGGCCACAGTTCAGAGTGGTGGGGTTTACCAAGATATCATAGCAGCAGTGACAAGAGAACTCATTAAGAGAGATCTTGCGGTCTATTTTTGGGGCAGGGTCAGGATCAACACTGCTGCCTTGTAACATTACATCTTCCTCCATGCCTAAGCATGTAAGTTAAATTAAGAAAAAGGAAGAGTCCTGGTCTTCAGCGAGACTCCTGAAATCTTTCTGGTGTGATAAATCCTGCAAAACGGGAGAGACATTATTATTATTACCAACCTTTTTCTGCATTAACGGTGTGAAGCACCATCACACAGACAGATAAAATTAACCAAAGTTAACCAATTAAGGGGGCCCTAAGCACGAAAGCCACTTTGTCTTACAGAGCAAAATTACAATCAAAATTGGATTTTCTTCAGACAAATCTGGTCAGTATTCGGTCACCCAGACAACATCTGCATCATTTGGTGTTCATCTTAAAAAGCTGTGTTTTTCGCATCTGAAAAATGCTCAAATTATTGTTCATTTGAATTTTGCAAGTAAACAATAAAATGCAAGTTTTCATATGTCCTAAAAGAAACCATACCAAGTTATATACATGCATGTTTTATTTGGCGGTATATCCAACAATTTTTCTATTTTTCCAAATAAAAAAAACCAAAATAAAAAAGTTCTCTTTTCATGTGTTCTTTTCATAAAGCCACACATTAAACATTTCTAGCCAAACTATTTTTAAAGGGACAAAAACCTTACACAAATACAGGGTTATTACAAACAGCTTTCTGGTAACCTGTTAACGAGGCCATACAAAAGTTAAAAGTAACACCTTAAGCACAAATAGTGTATCTTCTTTCATTTTAGAAAGAGGTGCAGATTTGAATAGAAATTGGAACTTTTACAAAATCAACATTGTACACCACCCGGCTGTCAGATAACCAGTTTTGTTACTTCCTGGCAATATAGTGGACAGTGGAGTGTCCCTTTAACTTCTGCTTATGTGTGCCATCTCCCTATTTTGTCTTGTAATATTGAGTGATCTGACAAATCAACGTTCTCCCATACCGTCTGAAACTACAGAGACAATGTGGAAACTACACTTCCGCATTATGCGGTGTTCTATCAAATTCCCCTACCTCGTGAAAATCACAAACCCTTGTCACGGCCAAACAGGGAAGGCTAGGGTAGTAGGCATTCTCTCCCTTTCAACCGCTTTAAAAAAAAAAAAAAAAAGTTTGACAGAAAAAACAAAAAAAAAAAAAAAAAAAAAAAAAAAAAAAAAAAAAAAAAAAAAAAAAAGTGTAAGAATACTCAATGCACCATAATCACTACAGGACTTGTCAAGAAAATTTAGAAAGTCAACATTGAAAAGAAGAAGTGTTCTAGTAACGTTGTATTCTATTGATGATTTAAAATGCTCCCATAAATTCCACAATACTAAATGATGTGTTACAGGGTAATAGAGTCAATATCTATGAACTATTTGTGCTGGGTTAAAAACCCAATAATATTGCAAACACACTCATGGAAGGGAGTAAAATAGTGTAATTTCAAACAAACTCATATCATATGGAGAACCTACCTGGCAGGTACAGCCCTCCCCAGCACCTGTCATACATTAAAACTTGGTAGAAACTCATACACACACACACTCACTATAGAGAGTCATTAAAGCAGGCAGACTAAACCTTTTAAAGAACACTAATACACCATCAGGGAGACACCCATCACAGCCAGCCATCACTCCATGTCGCAGGAAGGACCAGTTTGCTGCCAGCTGCACCCATAATGCACCACGTTCCTATTACTTCCGCATGTAAGAAGCCAGTAGGAAGGCTCTCCAGAAGCCGATACTGAGAACACAATAAATGTGTAAAATAATAATAATGATAATAATAATGATGATGATGATGATTACTTGTGTTTGTGACCGTTACATTACTACCGTGTTTCAATTCTTCAACACGTTCACACAGCGCCGCCATCTCCCTGCGCGACAACTTGACGGGTATATAACGCTCCTTGTCTGGCCCCGCCCAGCTACTGGCAGCTCCGTGCGTGCGCGCTCCCGCTGCCAGTAGTAAGTGACGTCACTGGAGCCAACTCCAGTACAGCAACTTTTGACACCTGTAGAGTTGTCTACCTACAAGGCGTCCACAGCACTTGGCAGCGTGGAAACTCTCAGTGTAAAGTCAGTGGGTCAGCCTCTTGTATATAATGGCTCAATATTAGACTCTGCTAAATAATACACTTTATCTGTTATCTTTCACATATTCCTCCTGCCTCCCCTGAAGCACTTTTAGAACGTTTGCTAGTGCAGGTGGAACTTTTTCTTTCCAAATAGTTTTTATTGAAACGTTTTCATAATATAAAATGTAACGTATATCAAATAAAACAATAAAATAATGAAACCATGAAATATGAACAAAACAGAGAGAAAATAACATTTTAAATAAAGAGAAAGGGAGGAAGCCTTTCTACTCTTCCTGAAACTATGAGCAAAAACAGCACATCTACCAGCTTTGCAAATCTTTGCTCTGGCACAATTCTTGTTTGAGATAAGTCAATCAAGTGGATATAATTTGTAATTTTGATAGCTATTTAAAGGCCACTCCAATCACTATTACCACTACAGCTTAATGTAGTGATTAAGGTGCAAAGAGGATGTCCATGCATACTGACATTTGTCCACTCCTTCAGACTGACAGTCAGAAGCACTTAAGCTGAAACTTTTGTTATCTCTCCTGAGAGATACTGTGATGGGTATGGTCCTTTAATGTCTCTTTAAAAACAAATGTATCTATTTCTAGCATTGAAGTTGTGGCAAAAGTAACCTCACCACATATACTTGGAGGGGCCTGCTTGCCAGCCTCCTGACAGACTATGGGCCCTGCAGGGAAACCTGTAAAAGACTACCGAACTTGATCGACTTTTAGCACTGATTTCCGTGGAACTGTGGGCATAGGACCATGTGCACGGTCGGTCAAAACTATGACTTCCATGAAATTCTGGAATCCCTGAACCGATCTGAGTGATATTTGTATATGTTGTTCACCCAGATCAGGGTTATCAGGGGATGTTTATGGGGTGTTGTGTGTTTTTAAGGTACTTTTTGGGGTTTCATAAAATTGTATGTTTTTCTGTGCTTGTAGATAATTGAGTTAGATTAATACAGTTCCTGATTCAATTATCTCCCAAGCACAAAATAATGATTCTATTGTTTGTGTATAGGAGTGTCTCAATGTATGACTCTGTTTTTATTGGTTTATTCACTTTGTGCTGCTATGCCCAACAAGATTCACCTGGGTATCACCCTTGTTGGGAAACTTGCATAAAAGGCCAGTGTGCCTCCATTAACATTCTGTTCCTGCTTACCCTCAACATAGAGTCTCATCTCATGTGTGGGGGAAACAGCTGTATCTATCCTGGGGATTGCTATATCACTATACTCCCCAGGAATTATAATCATTAGCTGTTCCTGCTACGCTCTCTGGGAGTAGGAGAGGTCTGCCCACTGGAAGCTGGATCCCGGTCTTGAGTCAAGGGTGGGTGAAAGGCGGCGAGATCCCGGCGCAGCTGCATTGCTGGATGTGGGGTCTGCAGTGCTTATGGTGTCTGGTGGAGTGCTAGAATTCCTCGGTGAGCACTAGGAGCATCGATTGGCAGAGGCACTCGGTCGGAGTGCTAGGCGGTCCGTCACAAAAGTGTTCTTTTTTTTTTAAGGAGTAGATCTAGCACCCTCTTTAATTTTTTTTCAAAAGTTACATTTTTGTCAACGGTTATTATTCTCATCGCAGCACCTCTCCATCCTCATGAGCATCAGTAATACTTATGATCTACAGGCTAATACAATATTTTTCATACAGAAGCACTGGGGACCTGTCACCAGGGCCAAATTAAGAGCCCAGGGGGCCTGGTGCTGACAATTATGATGGAACTAATTACAGAAGCTTATCAACCAAAAACACTAAAACAATTATACCTCCCAAGTGTCATGTGTCTGGCGAAGGTGGTGCTGGAGGGAAACTCACAGGATGCAGCAATGAGAAAACACATACCCTATCCTATCTCTCGCTTTCATATTTTAAGTAAATCCAAACCCCCTAACAGCAGTGTCCAGTGAAGCAGGACGTCAATGTGCTTGGTAAAAGGGTGGGCCACTGATGCGAATCATGTAACCAGAACCGCCAAAAGGGGCGAAAATGCCCAAAAAGGGGGCCTGTCTGCCCGAAGAATATGAAGGCCTGCCTGGCATGAATGCATGTCAGACTGCCTGCCAATCATGCAGGCTTTCCTACTAAGGACATACTATACAGACAGTACTCTGAGCTTGGCATAAATGTATCTAATGATGCGCTCAATCCACACTTTCTAAGGATTGTCCCCTAGCACTCACATGTCCACTTGTCTCCTTACCTTCTTACTAGCAGGCAGAAGCTCCTGGTATATAGTTTAAAACAGAGAAAAGGTGGATGTAGTGAGTGTAGAAGAAAGGAGACATGCCACAGTGTTAGAGAGATCAAAGTCAGCATTACCTTAACCAATTTAATTGTCAGCCAGTCCACACAAGTTTTGTTCCCCTATATCCCTCTTAAGTTTCCATACATAAACAAGAGTATGTGAAGAGTAGTGTGTAACAAAAAAAAAAATCAATAGTCCTATTCCATGGGCATAGACCTGCAGCTGCAAAACTCCATCAGCCCCTGTGTTAATCTGGCCCGGCCTTTCACCTGCATCATGCAAAATAAACGCTCTACTGAAATGCTTCATGTGTCTTGAGTGTTCTCAAAAAGTCCCTTTCTTTGTCTTGACTTTCACAATAAATGCTCGTGACCCTCTTGTTGAATTACCGGTATTTGTGTCTGCAGAATCAGTGTCATATTGAACTTTGCTGGGTCTAACCAAGACAAGGTGCTAGCCAGGGTCCTGATGTTTCTTGATGTGTAAGCTAAATATTCAAACAATAAAGCATTGTAACTTTTAAAGGCAAAAAAAAAGTGGAAAAGTATATATTTTACAAGCAATTGTCACATTTCTAATTTTAATCTAATACACAATTTTATTTTATTTTTTTAAATATGTGCATTCTTTTATTTATTTAAAGGGTTACTCCAACCTTCATGACCATTTCTGTTTTTAGAAATTACTATGGTGGTAGGAATCTGTATGTGCAAAGTTTCTGCTTGGAACACTGCACATACAGAGATATTTTTAGAATATAGTGTCCGTTTAAAACACTCTCTTTATGCAGCCCTAGTCATATATTATTATGATTATTATTTTATTATTTATATAGCACCAGCAAATTCTGTAGCACTGTTCAATGGGTGGACTAACAGACACGTAATTGTAACCAGACAAGTGGACGCACAGGAACATAGGGGTTTAGGGCCCCTGCCCCAATGAGCTTACATGCTATAAGGAGAGGGGTATAATGACACAAAGGGTAAAAGTAGGGGTAACGAATTAGGTTGCTAAAAAAGTATTCACTGAGGGATTAGTAGGTTATTCTTGACAGTTGTAGGAGAGGAGTCATGGGGGGGGCGGCGTTAAAACCTGCTAACAGTTGAATTGATACGCTTTCCTGAAGAAGTGAGTTTTCAATGATTTTTTGAAGGAGTGGAGACTGGGTGAAATTCTAATGAAAAAGGGAAGGGAGTTCAACATAAAAGGTGCAGCTGTGGAGAAGTCTTGAAGGCGAGCATTAGAGGTGAGATTACGAATAGACGTAGATCCTCAGCAGAGTGTAGGGGCCTCGATTGGACATACTTGTGTATTAGGGAGGATATGTAGGTTGGACTAACATTATGTAGGAACTTGTAAGCAATCACTAGAATCTTAAATTGAGCCCTATGGGGTCTTACTGGAAGATAATGTAGCGACTGACAGAGAGGGGAGGCGTGGGAGGTGGGGGCGGACAGGAAAATGAGCCTCGCCACCTCATTCATTATAGCTAGCAGCAGTGCAAGCAGGGAACACGTAAGACCACTGAGAAGGCGATTGCAATAGTCAAGGCAAGAGAGAACAACAGTATGGACCAGCACCTAGGCCGCGTCCGGCGTTAAATAGGAGCGGATGCAAGCTTTTTTTTTTAGATGCAAGCGGCAGGATTTGGTGATCGACTGGACATGAGGGATGAAGGAGAGGTCGATGTCAAAGAGAACACCTAGCCAGCAAGCCTGAGAAGTAGAGGTGATGGTAGCGCCGTTGACTTGGAGAGAGACTGACACAGGAGTAGCAACACTTGGGAGGAAAGACCAGAAGTTCTGTTTTGGATAGGTTGAGTTTAAGGAAGTGAGCAGCCATCCAGTTGGAAATTGTGGAGAGGCAGTCAAAGACATGAGTCAAGATGGGCAGAGAGAGATCAGGAGAGGACAGGTAGATTTGCATGTCATCTGCATATAAATAATAATGGAAGCCAAAGAAGCTGATGAGTTTACCAAGGGAGGCAGTATAGATAGAGAACAGTATGGAACCAAGAACAGAACCTTGGGGAACGCCAACAGAGAGGGGTTGGGGAGAAGAGGCAGAGCCAAAAAAGAAACACTGAAAGAGCGCTGGGAGAGGTAGGAGGAGCACCAGTTGAGAGCAATATCCCATAGACTGAGAATACGGAGAATGAGAATAAGCTGTTGAGGATCAACAGTGTCAAAGGCAGTAAAAAGATCAAGGAGAATAAGGATAGAGTAATGGCTGCCAAATTTAGCAGCGATTAAATCGTTGGATATTTTGGTCACAGCTGTTTCGACAGAGTGATGAGCGCAGAATCCGGACTGAAGTGGGTCAAACAGAGAGTTGGAATCAAGGAAGACTGTCAATCTTGCATACACAACTCTCTCATGGATCTTGGAGGCAAATGGCAGTAACGAGATAGGGCGGTTGTTGGATAGGGAGTTGGGATCAAGGTTGGGCTTTTTCAGAATTGGGGTTACGGTTGCAGGTTTGAAGGGTGAAGGAAATGTGCCAGAGGAAAGGGACGAGATTGAACATTTTAGTAAAGTTAGATTTACTGTTTACACTTCTCTTATCGCAAATTCTGTT